TGCATGAAATCATTGACCGTGACACGCAGGAACCTCTATCTCTTGTGGAAATCATCGATCGACACGTTGTTCGGCTATGCCGCTTCAACCAACTGCACCTGATTGAAGAGCTCATCATTCAAGGTTATGAACCTATTCAAAACGCCCTTTTGAGATTTCCGCATCCACGCACCTCTCTGCAACTGGCTAAACTGCATCAACACGTCGAGCTGGCGAAACTGTTGAGTAGAGCACCAAAGTACCAAGAAGCCATGAACGCTCTGCAGGAAGCCGTTGTAGCTGGAGACGAATTACAGTTTGCCAGTTTAGTGAATGAGTGGTGTCTACTGTGGTGTGAGTTTTTCTGTTTGCCACGTGTTTTCAGCTTGTACAAACAGGTGGAAAATGGAAAGAGTTCGGAAAAGCCTTAGAACACCTTAAAATCTTTTCCAAAACGATATATTTAAGATTACTTACTGCTAATCTTCTCTGGACTTCTGTTGAGTGGCTTATTAGACATCCTCGCGCCCACAGTGCTATCCAACCAACAGAAACGAATGGCGCATTAGGGTATTTGAGAACCACTCCCAGAAAATAAACAAGCAATGTAAGTTATTTTTTATTTTCTATGTAATCCCAGAAGGGGACTATCATACGATCGCTGTGAAAAATACGTCGTCTCAACATGTGCAAGAATCCTCTCGTCCCGTTTCGTGCTTTACGCAACAGCTTACCTGCACAATGTCAACGTGAGCATTGCGTCCTTATTGACTACAAACTGCCAGCGAAATCTTGGCCACAGTATTAGCTACCCAAACGCATTTTGTGATTGCGGATTTTGCCAACTGATTTGCAAACATTTTTTGGCTTTTTCTTTCTGGTCCTAAAAGGTACCTCATTTCTTCAACGAAAGACATTATCTGAAGGTTAGGTTACTCCTACTTCGATTGGTCCATTTACAATCTGTGCTGCGTTGTGGTTTGCATTTCCTGCACTTCAATAATCCGTTGAATACCACCACTTCAGTATGTCCGCTTTCTGTTCCAATGGCAGTCTGTTGCTGGTGCTGTGATCGCCCGCAACCATCCCCACCCCCGGGATGAACCAATGACCGACACTCGGCGCTCAACTAGCATGATTCGGGGAAATTTGAAGTCATTCTTTAACAGTCATCACCAATGTGATGCATCCATTAGGCAAACATTTATCTAGTTGGCAAAAAAAGGGAAAACGTATTCATGTTTGACTAGAAAAACTCATGATCCCAGGAGACTCGTACTCACCTGTCCAGTATACTCAGTATCCGGCTTGTTGATAATATGCATTAAGAAGTACCTTGAAAAAAAGCAAGAAAACGGACAACTTGGTGTAACTGAAAACCTAAGACCCTGGCGGGCAGTGGGGAGACGATCATGGTAGTCTTTTCAGGTGTGTGTGCATCACGATATCAACTGTGGGTCGGACACTAAATATGCGATACTTCCAGGCGCTATACTTCTAATCATTAACCGTATTGGTAGGGCACTCTCACTTCTAGTTTCTCGTACAAGGAATAAAACTTTAGGAGAAAACAGGGATTTGGCCGGGAGGCTGTGACGTAAGTAAATTTATTACAAAGCAGGTTTTGCACAAACACCGACACAGTTGGCGAAACGAAATTTGGATTACTTGTGGTCACTAAAACTAGGGCGTGTGATCATCCCTGGTCATTGCCAGTTGTGAATGTCACGGTTGTACGAGGGCTGGAATACTGTCAGGAGGACGATTGGGGTCCTCAACCGAGGACTTTGGCTCAAAAGTCTAAACGCAAGGCAGCAGTGTGGGCTGGAAATGCAAGTACATTACCATTTTTACGGAACATGTAGCTATACATGTTCCAACCCCCAACCGGGAGGGCCAGGAGACTGTGTTCGTCAGACCTCTACCCATGGACCAAGCTGGAATGAGAGACTCTGTGAGTGTCGCGCGGACACCCCCTGGTATAGTTCAATGGGTCGCCGCCACGACACGGTAAGGTCCACTCTCTTCTTGACGGCATCCTGGATTAAGTTACAGCGCAAACGAAAGGCCGACTATTAGCAATGTTGTGCAATGTAGGTAGCTCGGGTGCGCTGTTTGGTTGTTGGTCTGTTCGCCGAGCTTGGCAGTTGGACTGCAAATGTTTCATCACCAATCGAGGTGACATCGTCAGTGCAGGGTTGAGTGAGCCTCATCACAATTAAATTAGCCAACAATTAAACAAGAGTCAGTAAGAATGCTCAAAGCAATGAATGTCTTTAGAGTAGGATTTGTCCCATAACTGTATTGCATTTATTTGTGTGACTGCTACCGTGGGGAAATAAAGTATATTGTTGATAGCATCTTGCTAAATATACGGACACTGCAAGATTCGAGGGAGAAATTGACGAACTAAGTGAAGAGTACAACCGGCTAGGAACATTTTGGACAACTATCTATGAAGAATCTTCTAACCTGTATGGAGGTTGCCATAACAGACATTTCAAACTAGAAATTTCAATATCATGAAATGTTCTTTCCAAGTCATCAACCACTCAAACCCTCCGCAATTTACACATCCACATTCTGCCTTCACTCTAGGCGTGGATTGGCGTGGACGGTCTCTTTTGCACCTTGCTGTGATTCACCGTCAAAACAAGCTAGCGCTGCAGTTGATAGACATGTGCCCCTCACTGACAAACAACCAAGACTGTTTGGGTCGTACTCCAATGCATTATGCCATCTGCCTCGGTGACGGTCGTGAACTGTTCCTCAAGCTCGTTGCGCGAATGGGTGGTTTGAACAAAACGATTAAGGACTTTGTAAGTGCTTGCACATCAACCTCTTATAATGTGACAAAACATACACGGAGTAAACTTTTGAGGTCGTAACCAATGCCCAAACAATGCATTCTTCTTAAAACTCGCAAACAGATGTGCAAAACAGACACTTGTCCAACCAGCCATAGGCAGCTCATACTTGAAGCAACCCTACATATAAAGTTATGAAAAGATTTCCGACAGCCCATCAATACTTTAGGCCACCTTCAGGTGGGGGTAGCTCCTGATTTTTCACCGAATTCAATTCATATTCGGAAATCTGGAAGTACGTATTTGGAGTCATATGCTTCCAAAGGGACTGACACGGTACTGATGACGGACGCCACCAAATGTTGGCTAAAGCTCTTTGTTCCAAAGTTATTCAAACGTATTTGCACCATACCGGCCGCTTGATATCTCAGCTGAAACATTAATTGAAATATTGGGGTATTTTTGAACAAAATCTTCTACAAAGTTGTTACCAGGAGAGACGACTCCACGTGGCATTCAGTTAACTTCTGATGAATTCAAGTTGTACATAAAATCGGGTTTGAAATTAGGACCTAAACTCAGGAGTCATGCCTGCTTGATGACTCCCACAAAATCCTGAATTATCTGTGGACTCCTATGAGGTCCTTACCAACTTTAAAAACACTGCGTCAACAAAAAGCGCTTTTAGAGTGTGGGTCTTTTTGCAACTGAAGAAAGATCTGCTCACTGTGCAACGTATTAAGTAATGATGACGGATTTGAATGAAATTTACCTCAGCTGCTCTACAACACCGGATCAATTCGACTTTCGATCAGTGTCCTGTCTGAATGTCACGTGAATGTTTTGCCCGATATGTTAGTACTTCCAAATCCAGCTGCTCAATGGCGACGAAGCAGCCGGTAGTTTTGATGTTCCACTCCTTCATAGAACCAATTCTCTCCACAGAGTTTCCTCTTTTTTATCCAAATTCATATGACAGGATAACCAAAAATCAAAGTTTTCCGTCATATAAGGTTATACCTGACGTGCAACCCTGTCTAACTGTTCTCCAAAAGTGTCATCTGAAGAGTGCACGGGTAGTGTGGATTTGAAATTTATCATGGTTGACAACCTCAACACCCACGCTTGGGATAAAGTCACGTAGATTACTTTTTTGCCACTCTGTGAAATACTCAAGAAGGGACCTTTGCGAACTATTTTGGTAGGATAATTAAACTCAGTTCCCTTTTTGAACTGGATATCGGACCATCAATCAGACGATCAAAGCGAGGATCATTTGAGGAGCTATACGTTTAGCTAGGTGACTACAATATGATTGTCTATCATCCACAAAGTGCTATTATTGATTTTTAAGTAGATTTAATCAAAACAGTACACTCAAAAACTGTAAACAAAGCCCAAGGTACCATATATCATCATCAATGCTAAAATCGGAGAGACGGAAGTTTAACTTCATTCTCGGAGGCCAGGTACCTTTAACGTGATTCGGGAGTTCTTAAAATCCCATAAAATGGACGCTTACTTTTGAATTGATAACACGTATTTTGTAGAAGCAAAAGTTTATATGACTCCACAGCACTTCACAAAATGTAAGTGAAGTACGAGGGTTGCTCGGGTGACCAACCCTGTCGTTTAACCAAGCTACTAGAGGGGCGAATAAATGAACGCGAATATCATGCCTGAATCTCGGTTGGAAATTGGACGAATTTACAGCATAGCTTACTTTCACTTGCATCACGAACTCAACTTAGAAAAAAACAACCCAACTTAACTTTGATGTCGCTTTGCAAGCACTCGAGCGAACTGGCCGATGCGTACATACTGCAAACTACCTTCAAGGTTTATCTAAAGTAGTGCGCATCTCACGAGACTCCGTAGGGTCTCGACCCCGCAACCTCCTGGCTAGTAGTGGTTGAAAGTTCATCTGGAGCCCTCTCAGCGGCCGACGGATCATCCATGATTAGTCAGAACAAGTCAACAACTTGTTCAAACAATTGTTACTTTCAAAAGTCCTTACGTTTTCCAGATTTACGGACAGTAAAGAACCATTTAAGGACCAAACCGAAATACTTCCATTAAGAGTACTAATAGAGCATGGGTTAGAGAAAGCTAAATTCCTCACGGAAATTGGGATCTCTGACTGTAAATGATTACCACCATTCTTTCATCTACTCATGATCAAAGAATAGTTATTCGGTAAGTCTAAAGTGCCCTTTCCGCTGGCTGATCGCGAAGGACTTGCACGTGTTTCACCAGGTGTTTCACCAATCGGCACAATTGCTCATGGTTCAAAATACTGAATAAGTTCACAGGAAATGCGCTGCAGTGTACGTTTTTAAACTAAATCTGAAAAAAGAAACTTGGGTAAACTGCTAGAATCAAACTGAGTTATGGTACACATGAACTCTCCAATCCATAGTATATGCTATGCAGAAGAGGAGAACATGCCTCAATCAGCTCATGTGGATTCTACCATCTTTCGGAAAATACGTATTAACAAAATTCCCCTCGGGAGATTTGACTATCCTCTTTAAATCAGGGTTGGTCACAATGCTGGTCAGCTGCTCGCAGCGAAAAGATTTTGTTTAACTTATCATATGGAAGATAGTGGGTTCGAAACTCCATAGATTTTCGTGGTCATCATTCGTAAAAAGGATAAAACAGCTGTTTAGTGCTTCCTGACTTCTCAGCATAGATGAGCTTCAATCACAAGACGAAAACCCAGTCGATATTCGCATCACCCTTGTATGATCACTTATGATGCCCTGATCTGGAGCGGTTATTCTAGTTGTTAGAAAAATTACTCCTAAAATCCTTCTGCAGTTTATGCACTCAGAAACCGGGTGACTCGATGTATCTCTTGCAGTTGTATGCAGACAGACTCCAACGGTTTTCTATTTAATGCTAAGGCCAAGATCAATATGGATTAATTTTTTTCCGACATTTCCCGTTTGCCATATAGGAAAACGTCTCCATTGGAAACTACGGTGATCAGTTCGAGAAAGGAGTGGAAAAATACCGCGACCTTGTTCGCCATGAATGCGAGCTTCGGCCTCCAGTTCCTCCTCGGCAAAGGACGGCGAATTCCCCGAAGCCATCTGAAAGAGAAGGAACCCAGCATGTTGTAAACTGGCCAGTGGATGTACCAACAATAGAAAAGGATACCTCACTTGATTCAAAACTGAAGGAATGGATACGTCAGATGGGGGCATATTCGCACAAGATTATAACAAAGGGCTTTGTTTAATCATTTTGTTTCTGGTTTACTAATTGCACAGTTACTCACTGGCTAATATCGACTAACTGCTCTATCTCTTTGGATTATTTTGCTTTGAATTTAATCGTAGATTCAAGATAAGCGGCATGACTTTTCACAAAGCCTGGTATTTTTTATTCTTCCTTCCGAAATAAGGGAATATACAGACGCTTTTCAACCAAGTTACAACAGTGAACACCCGTGCTCCACACTGATGTTACTATAAATAGTCTGGGTCAGGGAAACAGTAACCAAGTACACAGCCCCGTAACTACGTTAAATGCTAGTTTAAAGACCGTGCGAAAGAAACATGAAACGGTCTGTGTGCAGCCCATTCACTTGTAGAATATCATGAACAAGAGATGCACTTGAGTTTCTCGTGAAAATGATTTGCAAATGAGTGTATTTCTCGAAAACAGTCCAATTTGGGTTCAAGTAGAACATACGGTTGACGGAAACTCGAAGATTGCGCCTACCTGATGAGCCCCAAGAAGGACGAAACCTGTCGTGGGCTGTCGAAGAGTTTTCAGCAGCCTTGTGAGTAGTTTCCTGTACGTTAAATGTTAGTTTAAAGACCATGCGAAATGAACTAACAGGGGTATGAATAAGGTTCTGAAGCGTTGAAGTTTTTCGAGCGGCAACGAATAACGGTACAAACACAGTGGTTTAATTTCTACCGTTTTTTTAAGTAAGCCCACGGAATTTGTGTGGTACAGATACCATGTTGGAAATGTAGTCATGTGACCAATTCTCATATTCACACCGAAAAATGTCTGTGATCTGTTCTGTTTTAATTATTTTGCGTCTATCCTCTGCAATCTCAGTTAAGGATTTCTGGAGCGATTTTTCGGGGGCTTGAGCGCAGTAAGGTCTCCCGTGTATCAACATTCACATGGCAACATGGTCGGGTGCTTCGCTCTATAGAAGGCTTGCACATGCAACTTGAGATATGCTAACTTAACACTAGTCGTACCAATGAGTCTTAGTATACCAGACATTCAAAATGAGACGTTTCATAGGGCCTGTAAAGCATTAGGTTTCACTGATTGGATATGATTTGGAACATTCTGCCTAGTCATTGTTTTTTTCTTGAGGCCCTTTAAAAATATTTTTCCGTTATATGGTTAATGTCTGCATCAGATTAAACCATGTTGAAATACTGTCGTAGGATTTTACAGGAGGAGTCTAACGGTCCTTTCTTCATTTTTCAGTGCTGAAGGTGAAATGACCATGGGGTTTCATTTGAAGTTTCAGCTTGAATTATGCATATACGATAGCTCACACGGGAACATTGGAGTTTCATAAATATTACCTCTCCATAAGACACTTACAACAGTTACCAAGGTCACTCTGGGGCAGCTCTTCAATATAAGCAATATGATTCTGTATTTAACCGGTAAACCAACAAAGTCAGGGCACTAGTTCTCCAACGGCGGAAACTGACCCCTGGGACAGAAGTCTGAGTGTTTCTATTGGAATGTGGATTCAACAGTCAAAAACACGAACTGTTGTAATATTGATTACTGGCCTGATTTGTGTGATTTTCTGACCGTTTGATACTTGTTCTTGTTCGTCCGTAAATTTCTGCAACAACTCTGTTAACTTATCGTTCATTAGTAATAATTTTTTGATCAGAAATTTTTGCAATTGAAAGAGACGGTTCATGTGGACAAAACAGTAGTAACAACACTGTTACAGATGAACGCATTCTACGCAAGCCCTTCTGTTGTAACTGGTGCAAAGTGGAGCAAAATAAATCAACTTACAACACTAGGTGTAGTGCATATGTCGTGACCAATCAGTAAAAGTAATACAAAGTCAGAGTAACCATCAAGTTCCCTTGAGTGTGCAGTACATGCTTGATTCGATCAGCCAAGATTTGATCTTACTATAGCCTGATGATCCGCATTGGTTTAAAAAGCAACAATCCCGAACACTAGTGGTTGCGCATGTAAGAACTGCCTAAGATGTGCTGGTGCTACGCTTCACTCAATGTAACACTTATGCAACACACACTTTAGCTAAACTCTCTTTTCAAGCTCATATCAGTGTAACGGTGATACTACTGATAGTGAGGCACGCGAGTAGTATGTGCTGTTCGTAGCATTTCGCTTTGCGTCTATTGAAAAAGGGAGATCTTTTGCGGAATTCGTGGAGCCACTTCGTAACATTTGCTTGGAGTTGACCGACGAGTGAATGGAGTCAATGAATCTCCAGGAAAGTTCAAGAAGACTCATTCGGGAGAAGACGGGTGTCCAGTTTTTGCAACTAAGATGCAAATTAGGGTTTTGCTTCCCTGTTCAATGGTCTGTAACCGGTCAGTTGGTATTTCCGAATAAATAACTCTGCAGCGAAGGCCTTTTTCCTTTCATCAGTATAGGGTTCCAAAATAATTGTCAAGATTCCTGAAACAGCTACATCCCTCATCTTACCACCTGTCTCAGAATAAACATGTCGATACCACACTAATGAGTCAGTGGTAAGATATGGAGACTAGACCAGCGATCAACAAGGTGGAAAAAAATTCTGGCTTGGAGTGGACTGAATGGGTCTATAAATCCACAAGTTGTTCGCTCACTTTGCCGTCCGAATTTATCCACGTTGTGTTAACTTTTTCCAACAGACCGGCGGCCCGTGCGTCGTATCTTTGCCTTATAATTTTTACTGTTGGTTGGGTCTGTTTGCGGAATGACGGATGTCATAAGAACTGCCCTCGTTAAGCTCGATGAAAATAAACGCTCTTTGTTCATTCTGAGCGAATTTATCCGCATTTGTGCTATGCTATTTGTTATATTGTTTCTGGTTTTGTTGTGAGAGAGATTTTCTACTTTGACCTCTTTCGTGTTCTGTACTATCAATTATACTACTTTTATGCTTCAGTAGTTTATTAATTTAAGAAATAGGCGATGGGCACAATAATTACTTCTATTAGGCTACGGAATTGAAAACTCCCTTCAACCTAATTATCAGGTACCAACTATTTTCGGATGTTACGTTGATCCTGGTTACCACATAAGCCTCCATCATAACCTAATTGATTACAGGCAGGCCTCATCTAATTAGTCGACCGTGTCAACAATCTCAGCCCTACCAAAAATAGTGTCATTCACTTTAACCGAGTGCCTCTCAAACCAAACCAAATAAACCTTTCATATCAACGGGACGTGCAGGAAATTGTGCTCTTTTGGGGTAAACGGAAAGGGTTGAACGATACAAAGACCAATCCAGAACAACTGTTTTGCAGTGTCTGAGGTCGGTTCCTCATGAAACACTTGATTGTTGTGACTCGGCGCTTCGCAAGAACTGTTTCATGACAGTGTCGATACAGGGACCAGAATGGCCCAAGCACTGATCATGACCGAATGCTATGACAACAAATGACTAGCTAGAACATCAGAGAACTCCAGAAGGCTAATGTAATGTTGCCTTGTTGGAAAGCGTGGGCGGGTAGGTGAACAGTGAGAATCATGATACTGAATGGGTATCAGGGTATGAAAAAGGAACTAAATGTACCATGGGTAGAAAACACGAATTTACGAGCCCGAGAACCTGAAATACTTTGTAGCACTACTCGCATGGCACCTTGTACCGGTTGGGTTGAATACTTTGGTTTCACCCGAACCTTTCACGTGTCTGACGTGTCTTCTCGACAGGGCACTGAAATGAAACTCTCAACGTAAAATTTGTGAGCTAATCATTTTTGAGGTTCGCATTCTCGACCGTCATCCGTCCTGAATGTTGACTAACGACAGAGCCACAGTAGACATAATTCCCTCTAACAAGCACAATGCAAAGCTTAACGTGACAATCGGGAGTTTGAGAATGTGCCCAAAGTTTGCTTCTTTGTCGAATGTACAACACTGGGATACTTAGATGAAAAGTCACCCACAAATTTGCTTAGCTTGTCAGAAGTCAGTTGATTGGCAGACTTTACAGCATAATTATTCATTCTCACTTAGTCTTCACCAGATCTATCCGTCTGAATGAGGATGGTGCTTTCAGATTGAGAGTCAATAAACTTATAACATGGCTTCAGTAAACTAAAATACGGAAACCTTTGCCCATAACTAGAGGTTGCATAATGACCTCTGGCCGGGATTTTTTCCCAAAGATCCAAATAGAGCTTCAGTCAGAAAAGTCCTGGCATCATTTACTATTCAAAATACTACAGAAACCCTCCCCAAAGTCGCTGATTAAGATATCATGCTTGTTAGGAATTACCGGCAATTTCATCACACTCGTGTGAGTGTTTCCCAGTGCGAATATTCATTTAGGTCGCTGGTACAGTCGATACCCTCATTATGTCAGCCAACGCACGGAGTCCCGTATTTGTGCGGAAATCGCCTGTATAGATCAGCGGGCCAGCTAAGCACTGTACCATAGAAAAGCTACTGATGAAATTTGTTCTCCAGACCTATATTATGGCGTAATCCTATACGATAATTTCTAACGTTTTATTGGGTGTCACTTGTACGCCGACCGACCTCGTAGATACCTTACGTCTATTGCATATGGGTCATACGTCAAAGTTCTGCGGGTCAACATCGCACGCACGCACACCCCACCCAGAATAATTCTGATACGCTCGGCCGAGTGCCCGCTGGTCATAACAAGAATCACAATCACACATGCGCCAAGTTAACAATTTATATCAGCTTTTGACACGCAAACCGCGTTGTTCACGAGGTTGGAGTAGTATTTTCCTGGTAGAACGGTTATCAGCATCGAAACCGGGTTATGGCACAACAGGACGAATCATCATCTGGTAGCCCTCATCAAACTATCAGTCAAACAGCAGCCTACTCGTCAGAAGCCGATGACTATAGCGTCTGGTTCTAAAAAACCGTGGATTGCGCCGTGTCACTCATAAAATCCCGTGTTGACAGTTCGGTTGCTAGTGTTGATCTTCTGGCACTTGCCCGACGGTTGCAGTCTGGCATCATGACACAGGAGCAAGTCCTGTCTTTTCTGGACCTCTACGTCTCCAAGACATTTCCACTCACCTAGAAAACTGTATTCCATCGCCATCGTCAGCTAGCCCATCGGCTGCCAGTCAAGCGGAAGCAGATCCGCCGAGCCAACTACGCTGCCATCCAGACTCTATACCACCAAAGACGGAAAGATGCAGCGTCTGCTGTACTCGATGGGCCATGGGCGGATCTAAAGAAAGTTAACTGGAGCTTACTTCTGGACGCCGAGCAGTATTGGAAACAGGTGCTCTAAGCTCCAAAACACGTGGATAGCTGGCCAAGTTGCGTAGTAGTACCATTCGATTGGAGTCTGATCGAGCCAATTACAGGAAATGAAGTCGGTCTGCGATCCGTGTTATGAGCGATTCGTCCCCAGGCCTAAACAGGGTCACACCCAGGATGCTCTGCTGTTTCAATCCTAACGTGCTCGCTGGGTATTTCAACTTGCTCTTATTATCTGAGACTTTCAACTTGTCCTCAGTATCAATGGAAAAGGAATATCCACCCACCGACAGCAACTTATCAAACAACTCGGTGAGGTTATTCGTGCCCAGTTAAAGCTGCATCATAAAATGGAGATCACTAGGGACTACCAGGGCTGGTATATTCGCTCATGCTCGGCCACGTCCACCGAAACATTCTTGAAAGATTGGGCAGTTACACCAGACAATATATCATGGCTGGCTAGGTCTACCGAAAAACCCTGATCAGCTACATCCACGCCGATAAACAATATGGGGGACTTGGTATCCCAAGTCACAATGCAACAATCACGATGCAGCGGAGAGCGCGTATGGAAAAGCTGCAATCCACCAAGTGCTGGGTACCAAGCAATGTGGTCAACGATTCCGCATTTGGTAAGATTTTTCTGACCTCAGCCTTCAGAGCCGAGTCCATGGTGCATGCGATAACATTAAGGAAGGGCTGGTGGCTGCATGGGTAATAGTGTGGACAACAGTTTTGGCAGCCGTTGCTCAAGGGGGTTGGTTGCTTTGCCTCTTTCTACTCGATGGTTTGTATTTCCAGAACAGGAGTTTCCGTGGATATTTATCCATTGTATCTGCCTTCGTTGCAACTTGCTTAAGACGAGAGTTAGATGCGCTCGTCGTGGTCATGGTCGTGGAAACTGTGGCCATCCGGTGAGTTTTATACATATTTAGCGGTCCTGCAGAATCACGCACTATGTTAGATGTCATAGTTATAATAGGGTTGCAAGGGAACTCGCAAAACGTCTCGGTATGTACACTGCCATATACACTACCTTTAAGGAGTTGAGAGTATCTATTTCGACGTCTTTCATCAAACTCGACCCAGTCGCTGTTTGAGAGCGTTGAGAAACTATCATAAAGTCTCACCAAGCTACATATCATGGGTAATACACTTTGTTCAAGGATGGGTCAAACTTGCCGATTAATTTGTCTCAAACTTGGATGAAAATTTCATCCCAGCCAAACCGGTTGATTCGATACTGACACCCATTTTTAAGGAGAATGCCCGCAGTGAGTGTGGCATCCTCAGAAGAATTGGCTTGACTTCCTCTGTGGCAAGACCTTATGTATTACTTATTCTTTATTATCTTACGAGAAGGTACAAAGACAGGACCCGAGAATAGCAAGCAGGATTCCGCCCGGGGAACAGTGGCTGTATGAACCTTACATATATAAGCTCAGAAAAGTGTTAGAGCAACTGGATGCGTAATTTCGACCTTGAATCTTGACGTCCTCTAACTTAAAATGTGCTTTTATTTCTATCATCTGGTTTGTTCCTGTCAACACGTGCTTGCCACATGGTATGCCTCAGAAAATCCTGCATACCATGCAATACACGCTCCATTCACATACTAACAGTCAGGTGAAAGAAGCCCTTGAAGAACTTTTCTACAACCAGGGCTTTCAGACAACTTTTCACACTCTCAGTTTTTGTTCAATATCCATACTGATGAGGACAAAATAGAAAGGTTTCAAAAATTTCGGTGTCCAGATGTCCGAGAGAAAACCTTGCAGATCAGAACTATGCAGACCAAATTCCATCCAGTTCAGAAGAGTATCACAAAGCCAAAGCTAATACTAGAAGCTTTATTGAGTCCCTCTTGTCTTTTGATATGTGGTTTTTACCCACAAATTGCAAAGTACTAATGCTGGTGTCTCTGAGAGCTCAGAGAGTGAAACTGGATATTGTAAATGGTATTCATATCTCGGAAGTTAGCAGCTCCGTGCGTATTGAGACGAACCGAGTCAAAGCACGACAAAACTGTGTATGCTAATTTGCCCCAATGGTGGCTTCAACGATCTCTACCACCAGATATCAATAGAAGCGCATTTCAAACTACAGTGCGTGCACGTTGTTGTACGACTATCTGACATGGCTACTTCGGGCGAAGGATGTGGAACTGTTAGAGGTGGTTCACAGCCGTCGTCTCAGAACTTTACCCGGAACCGGCTAAAACCAGCGCACTCACAGTGAGATGGCAGGAGGCATGTATAGGTGAAGCATAGGTGTGATGAAAATGATTAGTCCTCTATTCATTGTTCTGTTCCTTATTCTATGGTTTTACTCCTTCATTACATATACGCCAGTCTGAATACATATGTGCTATTTGTTACACCTTGCTGAATTCTGAGTTTCCAGTTCATTTGATTATACTGACATACGTGCCGAACTCATTTACTACAATAGGGTACCTCACTTAAGGATACATCCAGCACTGCAATCTAAACTGGCTGACAGGTTGCAAGACGAGTTGCCGCCTGTCGGATCGGGTGCTGTTTTGTGTCTTATTCAGAATCCTAGGGATGAGCAGGATCTTACATGGGAAGGGAGGAAATAAACTATGTTACGGAACCTTTGGGTGCTTTTGGTGTTTTTTGCCTTCCAGAATGATGTCCAGTTGTACCCCCCTCTGCTTGGCGTTTATTATGTCAAGCTATGTCTTCATTGTCTGACCGAGTGCTAGAATTGTGAGATACTTGTGGTAGCCTAACCCTCAACCCCTCTAACCATCCTGCCACTTTATTCTCATAAAACGGCTGTCTTCAGATGAACTGACATGGTATCACAGCAGTGCACTATCGAGATTAGGTATGATACCACAACCGATATTCGAGGAGGATGGATATTAATCACCATGTATGCTCATACCCGAAAATCACGTAATCTGCCTCATTTTTGGAGTTTTTTCAAAATAACCTTCTATACATTTTGAAGTTACCCACATGTGGCACGTAGGCGCAGTCTCAACGTCTACCTGATTACAGCCGGATTTGGCCGTAGGTGCATGGTCACTTATATATTTGTATGAAGCGAGCATTTTGCTCACATCTCCAGAATGTTTAACTTGTGCATGAAGATGACTAGCAACCAACGTCGGGTGAAAGTGACCTTAATTGATGAAATGGTGTCACAAATACTACAACCCAGATTGGTGTTGGGCGCTATCTTTCCCTTGTGTTATTTTCTTACATGTAACATCACCGGAGGCGCGCGTGCAACATACAGAATCCATGCGCTTTGGATCCATACGCTATCCGCTGGCGGCTATGGCATTTTTGGTTACAAGAAGACACCAGAAAATGCCACAAAGCAGATTTCCTTCTTCTGTTCCGAAAAACCCACGTACAGTGGTTTTGTTTAAGTTTACGGCAATCATTTGGCCACAGGCTATTGGCACGCCGAAACTGAGTCCGCCGAAGCTATAGGGTTTTCGAATTTGCCATTTTTATGTGAGTTAGTCTAATCAATTTGCACCTTCCCGTGATATGTTGCACGTAGCTTTTTGTTTAAGTGAGCGAAATGTCAAGGTCATTGACCATCGCCGATTTGGATTTTTTGCCGGTTTACGCGGCATAAAACAGGAAATCGCACTTTAGCATATTTTGGCGTTCCGCGGTGTTCCTGAAGAATAAAAACATCTTAAGAGTGCTTAATACAAATGCCACCCTATAGGATCAGTCGCAGGCGTTTGTTTGCTCTAGACACGTCAGATTTAACCAATGGGATATTTTTGTTTAGTGAATCTGCTCACAAGACATTTTCCCCATGGATCTCGTGTTCCATAAGTGCAATAAAGTTAGATAACAGCACAAACTTGCAGTGGCAGTGCGAGGGACACCTGTGGGTGATCCTCTTTCCCAGATATGCACAGCTAGCTTTTAGATAATACAGTGCTGCCAGAATGCTGTGGGCGTCTTTCCTGTTATAACTATGACGTTTTATAGATGGTTACCACCAATCATGAAGCGGTCACCACGATGACGGTAGCCTCCTCGACTACCTATTGTAGCTGCTGAATCCGTGTCTATGTGCGACGCTAATTAGGGTTCCCCATGTATGCGCGGCAGCCCAATCCAATGAGCAACGACGGCCCCTTGTACTCGTGTCTCTACTAGTTTTCACTTATCTTGAATACTTGTTGTA